AAGTTTAACATAACAGCAAATGTACAACGTTTCGACAAGGTTTTGTCATCATCAGGTCATTTGTCATGATGACAAAACCTTGTTGAAACGTTGTACATTTGCTGTTATGTTAAACTTGTATTATTATAATAGTATTTATGAATTAAAATAAATACACAAACAAAATTACCTTCACAAAAGGAAATAAACAATTCTAATTTTCTATAATAACGAAGAAAATAGCATCAATATTACGTAAAATATATTGTTTGAGGCATGCAATTTATGACTAGAAGGCTACTCGGATGGAATTTGGACGGTTGTCTCGCCTACATCACACGCATGCGCGTATCTACTATCCAGATGAGATTTCACAGCACACCGACACCGTAATATTTTCAGTACGATATTACACTATAAAAGTATAAGAGTCGAAAAGTATATTTTTCTACCGAGCAGAAAATATTCGCAAAGTTTCTAATCATGCCTCTTAAACGGTGATGTTTACTAGTAGTAATACTAAGAGTATTAGTACTAGGCAGTTGTAATGAATAATTAGGTTTCACGTAACTGAGCGCTTGGCAATGTGTTTTTGCTACAAGTATAACATTAAGTTTAACAGCCGAAATTCGTTAACCGGAGTAAGTATTCTTAATTATAACTTTTAGTTAAACTTAAAAACTATGAAAGTATTATTATACTGACTTATAAGTTATAACTACTTAAAATAGAAGAAATGAGGATGGCTTTTAAAATTTCTTTTTCTTTATACTGTTATGCAGTAAGACTAAGAGTATCTTAAATATGGAATAATTGTTTCATAATATTTTACTAGTAGTACACATTTCGTGCTTATATTATTACTTCAAAAATTTTCAGTGTCACTCTTTGTGTAACTTAACACAAGTCTTAGTTAATGCTTTATATTATATTAAACTTGTAAAATAGATTTGATGTAACTGGAACTCGCCTGCTATTTTCCTGCACAGACAACAAGAAATTATTTGGCCCTTTAAGGTTATCCTAACAAACCCACTCTTGAGAAAAATAAAATTTAAAACCACCCTTTATTTTCAGGAGTATTCTTGGTACCAGGGTTGTATATCAAGCATAAATAGAAAAGACTGCCCTTGTTTTAAAAAAAAAGTAAAGAAAACATACTACAAGCAAAAGACAAGAATATATTGCTATTTATATGTGGTAATGACAGCAAAGAAGCAAACATTTCCCTAATAGTAAAATATAATTTTAGCCTTTTAAAGTCATAGGTCAAGAAATAGAAAACCATTTAATTTTACGTTTCTTGTATCCAAACCTGAATGCTCCTTCTATTACCTCTTAAACTCCTTCAGTGTTGTAGCTTCTACCACACCTGAAGGCAATTTATTCTACAAGCCAATTATAATGGTGTGACTGAAGAAAAAGATCTTGGCATAGTAGTGGATAAGACACTCAAGCCCATCCAGTGTTCTGTTGTTAATACTAATGGTAAAGCAAATAGAATGTTAGAATGTATTTAGAGACTTGTTGTTTACAAGACAAAATATATAACTCTATACATTGAGTTGGTATTCTTGTAATTATTATGTCATTTAGTTGAGCTGTTTCTTGAATCTGTTTATGCAGAATACTAGCTCAGACCCTATTAGAAGTATTGTAACATTATTTTCATAGTCAAAAAAAAAGATTGACACAGGTTATTATCACTGTAACTGTTCATGATGTGATGATTAATCAGAATTATCAACGGCTGTTAATTCAAATTCATGTTTTCAATTATGATTTTCCGTAATGACTTAAAACGGATTATATTATTCTTTGGAGATATGTTGTTTTTGTATTTTAGTTATATCCTTGTTGTAATAAAACTGAATGATGTGTTGTAAACCAAACATAATCAAGATGGTATTTCCATTGGTTAACAGTCACCAAATCCAACCAAGCTGAGCTTTTGTTATATAATTAAAGGCCTGAAATAATTTTCTGAATTTATTCTTTCTGAAACAAAATTATGAAAAGTGTATCATTTGAAAATCATACTGTGTAAAACAAAAGCTGATAATTTTAATACAATTACCATGCACATTCTTACTATTAGTTATGATAAAAACTATCATGCTTGTAGGCCTCTTCAAAATCCTTTCCAAGAATTTGAATGAGATCTAACCATTGACATATACAAAGAAATTGTAACCTCTTTAGCCATGGAGTATTATATTGGTTATTGCTTGAAATTTGATTGTAATTTATAATTGTGTCAAGTTCTAAGTCATCAGGGGTTTAAAATGTGTTTTTTATTATCAAGTAGATTTTGTAATAATTCTTTCTGGCTCTTTTCCCTAACTTCTTGTGTGAAGTTAGTACAGTGTTCTTGTAATCATGGTACATACAAACAGAAAACTGAAAAGTTGTTAGCAGGTGCTGTTCAAGAAAGAAAACTAGATTCCTGCCCTCCCTCTTTAAAAAAAGAAAATTGAGGTGGTTGTAAAATGTCTTCTCTGTAACAAGCAGTTTAAAAAGTAAAAAAACAAAGATATCAGCAGGTACTGCCAGCCAGCTGAATTTTGTCTAGTCAGCAGTCCAAAAAGGAAAAAAGATCCCCCCCTCCCCTAAAAAAAGAAAACAAAGTTGGAGATGGGTGCTGCCAGACAGTTATCTTCCCTCTAGTCAGCAGTTTGCCAGCTGGTTGCTTTCCTTCTGTTAAGCAATTCAAAAAGAAGAAAAGACCATCTCCCCAAAAAAGAAAAAGTTTGAGGTGGGTGCTACCAACCAATTGCATTCCATCTAGTTAGCAATCCCGAAAGTAAAAAACAAAACAAAAAATTGGTGGTGGTGGATTCTGCCAGATAGTTGCTATCCCTTTAGTTAACAGCTCTCAAAATTAGTGACAGTGGTAGATAGCCTTAGTAGCTTTGCAACCCCAAACCACTCCAATTCACCAAAGCTGAAGTAGAAGAAAAACAACTTATAAAGCTAAAATTTAGGAGAGCACACATAGTCCATTATGTAGCTTTGTGCTTAACAACAAACATAACAAAATTTCAATTACTTGGATAGTTAGAATAATCAAAAACTAAACACTAATTTTGATTAGTTGGTTACTTTTTGGACAGTTGATTTAATCATATATTCAATTAATTGATTGTTGGAATAATTGAAAACAGTAATAATCAAAAACACTAATTTTGATTAATCGATTTAAGTGTAAATTTTGATTGATTAGTGTATGTGGCACTAATCTGTGTAATGACTCATAGGTAATTATTTATATTAATTGATTAAATTTCTTGGCTCTATTTATGTCATTTGTAAATAATTAGGTCCGGTTTTTTCAAATTGCAAGTATGTGGTATTCAGGCTTATTAGGTATTTTGTAACCCCTTTATTTCACTTAAAAGTATAAAGTTGTTCAACATGTTTATGCAGACAAGTGTGTGTGTAGTTTTAACAATAGAATGTTGTTAAGATAGGTTAGACTTCTCATTTATTTTTTAGTACTATACATTCTATTTTGTCTGTCTGGAACATATTAAGAGATTTTTCTAAACACACGCACCTCCTCCTGAGTGCTTTAAACCTTCAATGTCTTTTATGAGTACACTCATTTTCTTTGTTTTATGAAATATATATCATTTTACATTGTGTCCTGTCTTTCTTTACAGTAAGCTAATTTGAAATCAAGAGAATTCTGTTTAAAATTTTTTGCTTGAACCTTCTGTTATCTTACAAACCCTACCTTATTACTTGTTGGAAATTACTGAACCTGAAAATACTAGAAGTACCTTCTGTTTAACATATTAAAATTGCAATGAATATACAAGTGTTTTTTATTTTAAGAATCCTGTTAACAGTGTTTCAGTTATTCTTAATGCAGAATAATCCTTCGTTGTCCATATTGTTATGTATCTACTTGTTTGTTAATTTCCGGTAGAAATTCCTTCCCAGGAGTTTCAGCGATACAAGTCCTTTCTTGATTAAACCAGTTTATTCTTTCTCGATACAAACTTTTAGTACACAGTAATTGCACAATCAGTACATTTCTTGTCACTTTCAATTTAACGACTTTTATAATACATGCTATAAATCACAGTGATTCACAATCTCGATAACTTCACTCTCGACGAGTGCAAAACACACACACTAGCCCGAAACTCACTGTGACTACTCTTCACTTTATGCTACATTCATCCTGCTGGCTTTTCTCGCCAGGCTGATATACTAACAAAGAGGCGTCTCGATCACACTCGAGCTTCCCTGATAATTCAAGAAACTCAGTCACGCATGCGCTAGCAGCATCACATGACTTCCGCTGTCATAACAATATGTTACGCTGATCATCAGTAACTTACAAATTGAATATTTCTTTATTTGGGTGATGTTAAAATAATTTTATGCAGGTATTCTGCATTTTAATTGATGTTCTTACAAACAAAATGTAGTCACACCTACTCTACTCTCAATTGCCATCCCACCAAATGTTTTAAACCACACTGTTTATTCAAGAGAGTTTGTATTTCCTTGCCCAGTTCTGTATATTATCTCTTCTCTAGATTGTGGACCACACACATATGTAATGGACAGTACATAGGTTATTACAGACTTGAATGAAGTAGAGTTTAAACTCCCTTGAATGAATAATGAGAATAACCACTGGCATAGAAATATAGGATTCTGAGTTACTGCTCTTAGACCTATGTCTGGTTACAGGTGTGGTATTGTCAGAATCATGTTTGTCTTTTCTGTAGTAAAACCTTTCCCCCATTTAGCTCCATTACTTTTAGATAGATACTAACACTGGGAGAAGCTGACCAGCAGTTCTATTGTGACATTGTGAATTGAGTAAGAGACACTGCTGAAACTAGGTGGTATTCACTCTGGGCTGCTTGACACTTGTGCCCTGACAACAGTTATGCCTTAAACTTCTGCATTAGTGTCTCAAGCCGCAGTACTGATCATGGCTTCACCATCTCCTGAGAAGCAGCAGGTAACATCACCATCATTGTCCATTATAGGTATGCACCAAATACTAGAACTGAAGAGCATGTTGTCAGAGCTCTTTGGTACCAAAAATATGCATAACCCATTTTAGTTACACCACCCAGGCTATGGGTATCATAGAACTCGTAATCCCTAGTAATGTAATGAACAGACAGCTAGACATTTCTCCAGAAAATCATAGATTAGTGTTAGGGACATGGAGATCAGAATAACCATTGACTGGCAGGTTAGGTCTGCAATTGAATAAGAAAAATGCCTGTTTGAAGAAGGGGCTGTGCAAGCTCAGAAAACTATCCAAAAAGTATCTTGTAAAACAGTTTGTGTCAAGTAAATGTGGACAGTTTGCTTTGTTATATGCATGATGGGGTATGTTCCTGGTCCTAGTTTATTGTATATTATTTTCATCCTCCTTCATTTTATTTTGTTTCATTTTATTCATGTTTATGCATGCTATTTTTGTTCCTGGTCCTTGTTTATTGTATATTATTTTCATCCTCCTTAATTTTATTTTGTTTCATTTTATTCATGTTTATGCATGCTATTTTTGTTTTCACCATATGTTTAATTGTTCATGTAGGTTAACTGTGGATTTTGCTTTATAAGTTATATTTTCAGTCTACAGTAAATTAAGTGTCTTATTTTGGATTTTTTGAAACCTAATTTTGTTTATTTGAGACTTGTACTCTTTTAATTTGCATTTGGTTGTGCCCAGCAAATGAACATATATGTAGTTGTATAAAATTAAAACTATGTAAGTTATGTGTTTTAAAAGTATGCATGTGATTAAGTAAGTTGTAAAAGAAAATATAAAACCAAAAAAATTAAAAAATATAAACCTAATGTGTGTAAAAGATATGTAAAAGTATATTAAGAAAAATGGTAAAATAAACATCACTCTGTATTAGTAGAATATGATACTGTTGAAAATGTACCAGTTCTGGTTTTATTTATTGCAATTATGATTTTAAGTTTATTTTGTAGTGTGTATGTTTATTTGGAGTTTATTTTGTATTGAATTCAATAAACAATTGTGTTTACATTTGTTTCTTTATTTATTAAGTTTTGCTTCATGTTTGATTTTCCATAATGTTAAATTAGTTCAAGAAATAAAATAATTGTGTAGGTGTAGAAATAACAAAATGCAAAATAGAATATAAAGTAGTGGTACAAACTTGGCAAATGAAAATAACTTTCAAGTTCAAGCATTAAATTTGTATTATAGTAATAAGAAATCCTGGTAGTAAAAAATGTCATAGCATGGAAGTTTTAAAAATTTTGTTATTGGAATTTTTGTTTGTAATAATTCTTAATTAAGACACAAGTTCTAATTTTTTACTTATATTTTGGTAGGCTAAGTGTTATAATTAAGAATACAAAGGGAGATACACTGCTTTAACCATGGAAGTATTAAACACTGACGTTGAACTCTCTTCTGATGAGGAGTGGAATGATTTGTTGGATGTCAAATTGGTTAAATGTGAAGATGAAACTATAGAAACATCATCTAACAGTAAGTTAATATTTTTATAATTTAAACATGTACTGTTCCTGCTGTGGTAATATTTTTTCTCAACATTTTAGTAACTGTTACTACTTTTTTTTTTTAATATTGCCAAAGTACTAATGTTTTTATTATTGACTGAACATTTCTTATCTATTACAGATTAAAAACATTTTCAGTAACTAAACATACAGAAATGCCCAATAGTAATATCAAGAAGTATTTTCTTGATGTTTGAATTTGGGATGTGGCAATGTATGGTTCAGTGACAAAAATCTCCATACTTTAGTCAAATTTGAATATTTTTGTTTTGCATATAGCAGTAATACCTTGAAGAATGTAGCACAAAAAAAAAGAGAAAAGAATGACTAATGTGGTAATTAGTGTAGATGTTCAAATTCTTAAATGAAATATTTCTACATAACATCAATGAAACAGGGCTTTTGGCTTTGAAACTTTTAATGTTTACAAAAAGGTTTCTCCATCTTTTAATAATGACTCTAGTTTTTTTAGCCAGGGTGTGAACAACTTAATCAGTGAAGACTTCCTAAAAGTAAAAAACAAAATCAATTGAATGTAAGAGTAGGATAATTTTTCATCAACATTTTGATTTGGTCTAACTTGATTTTCATATTGATATTTTAAATGTCGTATAAACTCTGTATAAGGTAAACTAAGCCTTTTCAGTGACTGAAGTCAGAGTTGGTATTAGAATTTACTGGGCTTTGGTGTAAGACCTAAAATATATCATGTTTGGATTTGGAAACAACCATGAAAGGCTAAATTTTGTGATGCTAAATATGAAACGAAGTCCAGAATTCTACAAAGCACAGCATGCCATCATTCATTTTCCTTGTTTAGCTTTTCTTGAAAATGTCTGTCTATTGACATTGTCAGTTTCCTTTACTAGAGGTGAAGCCAGAATTTCAAAACAAGGAAAAGTTGCTTCTTCTTCCAGGTACAGACAGGGATAAGTTTTTGAAAATAGGGAGACTTCACATTTCTTTATTAAACACATTCACAATGTGAAAACACAGTTTGATAAAGGAAATGTTGTTTATCTAGGAGCTATTTATTTCCATGTAATTTGAAGCATTAAATAATGAAAAATGTATTTATTTTAAACTTAAAATTGTTTTTTTTTAGAATCAAAGATAATCATTTTATTTATTTTTGTTGCAATTTAAATCAGTCAAATAATGTCTTCATTCAAAAAATATAAAACTATATTGTAAATTCACTGCATTTTCCATTCTTTTTTATTTATTTATGTATTTTAACTTTTATTTTGAATACTGGTGATGATTCGTAATCGTAGCAGGATTTCCATGCCCATGTGCATACACATTGCTTCTTCCTGCATTTTTACAAATTGAGCAAATTTGTACAAATCCCTGGATACATACCACATGAAGACATATTGATTCAAGACTTTGTGAAATGTTTTGATATTTATTCTCTAATTTTCATCACCATTTCATTTCTGATCAGATTTTTTCAAATGTTTTATGCCTAATCAATATGCTAGAGACATTCTGAGTAAATGAGGAATAATGAATACCATTATGAGCAGCATTATCTGATTTGATTGCAGGCTTAACATACTATTATATCTGTAAAATAATGAGTAAAGGCAATTTAAAATTAAATATTTTATGGTACATACCTTCTTAACATAAAATATACTTTAGGAAAGCTTTAATCATTTGCTAACTCTTCATAAAAGAACACTGTTTGGTTAACAACACTGATTATAACTCGCACATAACATAGTTTACTTTCTTTACATTCATATGATTCTATATAATCCATCTACAATCACATTGATTGATTAAGAGAGAAGTAGTTTCATTGCTTACAACATAGTTGATCTGGTAAAACATTGCAGCTGGGACACTTTCATGTTCATAGTTTCTGGATTATCAGCAACTCTGGGGAGAATCTCAATTCTTCCTGGAGAGAATTGATTTTTAGCTCCAGACATGAGTTTTTAAACCATATTTTCTTTGTATTCTTTGAAATTTCCAAATAGTATTCTTTACTACCCACAAGTAGTTCTAACACTTTATTGGTCAATCTGTGCAACTTCCCGGGCTAATCCAAAACAAGAACCAAAACTCTCAAATAATTGGTTACTGTGATGGTGAGTGCTCCAGTTGCCTTTTTACTTGTACTATTACATTGATCTAGAGTAACAGATTTCGCATCAAAATGCTGATTTGAGATGTTATCATAAACTTTTTAGTATCCTTTATTGTACTACTAACTCGGTGTCGGTAACTTATCACTGTCAAACTTATGGTTAGTGTTTTTCTCAGCAACTCTGTTGTAGCTTCATTTTTTATAACTCTTAACTCGTGATTCTCGGTACCACCTAACCAGCTAGCTGTACTCTCCTAGCTCTTGACCTTATTTTGTAACACAGGCATCTTTTATTTCTTTTCTTCATGTATATGTTCACTTGGAAAACTCAGAAAATCGTTATAACTTCTTTCTTAAACTCTTTTAAAATGCTAAAAATACTGAAGCAATTGTAAAATTCCCTCAAAAATATCCAGTTGCTTCATTACTCTCTTTTTTTTCCCGCTCATTTATATGTCTATCACTTAGGCCTTCTATAAATCTAAACAGCCTTGACATCAATGAATTACAAACACAAATAAATTACTTAATAATACTACCTACACTAAACAGTCTTTTAGATCTGACATACTGTCACGAAACTTACAAAAAACACACTCACTGTGTGTACCATATGGTGAAGGAAGCCCCATCCATTCTGGCCATTACATTCATTTGATATGAACAGAAGTGTAATATGGTGATAGAAGCACTTTGTTATTTATCCATTGCATTTGTTTAATATGAGCAGAAGAGAATAATGTGGTATTAACAGCATTATCCTTTTTTTTTTCATTCCTTAGCAGGAATAAAAATATTAAGTTAAAACCATTTGCTGAAATAAGTAAAAAAGATTGTTTGGTACTGTCATTTATACCTGGCTTATCTTGTCAAATAATGAAAAAATTTAAATAACAAAAAATATTTTTCTGATATACAAACCGATAAATAAAGTTAGCCAAACTCTTAATACAACTGAAGATACAATTGATTTAATGGAAATATTTGTTAAAAATAAAATATTATGTGAATGTAAAAAAAGTTTATATAAGACTTTCTAGAAGAAATTTAAAATTCAGGATGAATGAACACAAAAGATGTGTTAAATACAATAATATTACTATTTCACCTTCAGCAAAACATATTAGTAAAACTAAACACATAATTCAATGGAGGAAAATTTTTTATTTTAGCACAACCTGGAAATTTAATTAGTATGAATATATGTGAATCTATTGAGATAATTAAATGTAAAAAAGTAAATTTAAATTATTGGATAAGAATAATTGACCTGATGGAAATGCTGTCAATAGATGGTAGGAAATTCTGTAATATGTAAATTGGTGATCTGGTAATTGTATAAATAAGTGTTATTTTTGCAAAACATTACACCCCTAAGGATGATATAGTGATATACATTGAAACATGTAGAGTGTATGAGATTGTTTTCCAGTCCCATCAGGTTTTTTTACTGCTTTTTATCCTGTACAGTAAGTTACTTGTAATTTTGAGACTGGAAACAATCTCATTTTTAGAATTGTGTATAAAATAATTTTTGTTTTTTAAGAAAATTGTGAGTTTTTTAGCATTACCTTTATAAAACTTGTTACATGAAAATAGACATAAGGGTGTTGCACTACAACAATTCAAGACTTTGCTCAATAGTATTTTCTAGACTTTATGTTTGACTGATCTTGGAAGTGTGCATGTCATGACTTTTGTTACAGTTTCATTCAAAATTTAATTAAAAAACCATATTATCAATGTATGTCAATAAACTATGCATCAAAGTATAGTTTCTAATTTAAATTTTAATATTGTCTATGTTTTAATTTCTTAATTTCAAAAGGAAATATTTAACAAAATTCTCAATCTTCACTCTTCTATCATATATCTGGCTTTTCATCTCTCACATTTAGCTTTCATAACTTCAACAATATAACTTCTATATGCCTAACCAATTAGAAACACAAACTGTATACATATTGACAAGAAAGAATGTAATATGTTAACCTCCTACATTTATGATTTGCTAAGATATCTGTAAGTATGTTTAACCCACCAGAGAAACGACTCTTGTCTTTTCATGCATTTCAAACCAATTATTCACTCATGCTTCATGTCTGACAGACATTTCTAATTAATAGAAAGAGCATATTGTAATATAAAAAATCTTTTATGTGTTTGTTTAGTTTTGGCAAACAAAGTTCACAAGAAGAGCTTCACATGTTTTGAGTACACTTGTTGCTCCAAGCAGTGATGGAATTATTCGACTTGTTTATAGCTTAGGTAGAAAGCCAGTTAAATTATATTGGTTTTGGGACAACCTATTCTAGTGCCTTTTATATTTTGTGTGTGCTAAAATACATATTTGAAAACTACATTTTTGGGCAATCAGCAGTAGTCCAGAGGATCAGTGCACAAAATGGACAGAATCATGTACTTTATGGTAAAAGCATAAAACTTGTTATACATGTGCATCATGCCAAAGAATGTAAATTTAGATATAGTGCCATCCCAGATTTTGTCTGTGGCGACCATCTTTCAAAGTGGCAGATTTATCAAAATAATACATTATATCTCAGAAATTAAGAGGCCTAGAACCTTCCTTTAGGTATATACACATAAGTTTTTGGAGTCATTGAGTTAATAATAAGTATTGTTGAGTGTGCCAGACCATTGTTTCCATCATTGGTAGAGATGGTGTCCTTGTATAACTGTCTAAAGGTGATATTTTAGAAAAGAGTACAAACAGCTCAATATCTAAATTTACATTCTTTGACATGGTGTACATGTGTACCAAGTTTCATACTTTTACAACAAAGTGAACAACTTTCCCCCTATCTACTGGACTAATACAGGTATCCTACGAAGCTTATGATTATAAT